AATACAAATTTAAGCTGATAATTCTAAGTTTTTAAAGCAACTAAAATTTAACGTTTACCGCTAGGTTCAAAAAAGGTGTATTTACCTTTGTTTTCTTACATTACTTTAAGGGCGATAAGATGTTACTTTGAAATAACGTAATATTGATTTTACTTTTACATATAGGCGTGTATGCTGCATTTACAAAACAATGCTAGGTGCTGTACTAATAATTTAATTGATTTAAAAAATATGTGTTTTTATTTCAAATGTGTTTTAAAAATATCATGTCTGATTAAATATGTGGATTATTCATTGTCTTTGTTCTTTGTTGCTCTCCTTTTATTCATTCCACATAAAGCTATTTATTATGATTGATTGCTTTCTTCTGTCTGATGGTCCAGAAATGCAATTACATCAAAATAATAAGTAATATCAAACATAAATTATTACAAATTATTCTTGTTTAGTGATGCTGTGGATGGAGTCCTTTGCCTTAGAAGCCACCTTATCAATAAACTCGTCAGCGGCTAAAAATACAAAATAAATTAGTTTATTACGAAAATTTTTTGGAATATAAACATGACTGTGCCTGTTTTCTCAAATTTTCTGAAATTCATTTCGAACTAAAATCATACAATTTGGTTTTTGCTGATGTTGTAATCGTACTATTTATCAAGCATATTCTACAATTCACTTACCAGTGAATTTCAACTCCTTTCAATATGGACTCAAGCAATTTTGCAGAAACTGCCTGTATATTTCAATTTACTTGTACGAATTGAAAAAAGTCTCGATTTGTGTGATACATGCATATCGTCGTTTAAAGTTACAAAACCGCGTATCACGATAATGCAAAACCGCGTATGTAAGGTCACCAAGATTTTACCGGAGAGAGTAAAAATATATGCTACTCTTGATCAGCGGTATAACAACTATGCTGTTATTTTGCAGTACATGGTCTAATATCGATATAATGGTATGAATAGATTAGGCTTTATGCCTGGAGCTTCCCATGAGAAAATCTAATTTTTGGCACAAATGTCAGTTACGCGGTTGTGCAAAACGACGATAGGCGGTTTTGCACTTTAAACGACGATATGTATGTATCTATGTAAAACAAGTAATGAAGAATTCAAGAAATCGAAGCCTGGAAACAAGCTTGTTATCTAGAAATACTTAACAATTTTTAAACGGCTGATTTTTTTTTATTAATAATGGCACATCAGCTCAATATTAATACTATATAGTAAAGAATATGAAATAAAATATTTTACCTCGGTGGTGCTTCAGGAAATATGGGCGCACAACGCTTTGATAGATGACGGTAGATCCATTCCTTTCGATTGGCAGCATGCACCAGATGAGAAATGCGCACTGAAAGTTGGCAAGAAAATAATTTTAGACTTATTCATAAAAAATAAAATCGATTTATAGAGCATTGTAGAGACAATTCCATTAAAAATTCACATGAATTCGTCTTGTTCTAAATCTTGCAAAAATTTC